CATGGCATCTAATGTGGCGTCGTCCAGATACTTAATCCTGGATCACACTGTATGATTTTGGCGGTCGCACAGGGTTGTTCATGTGACACTGTGAGAAGTCCAGAAAGGTACGATGCAAGATTTCAGCGAGCCAGACTGCATGACGTCTCGCTCCAACAGGACACGCTGCGTCGTGAGCACACCTCCCGAAAGCATACATCACTAAGCAGACTGCTAACCAAAACAAAGCTGAAAAGATGAAAACACTTCTTTTTAGTGTCAGTTCATGACCCAACTTATCTTTCTCAAAGAGGAAGATTCGTTTTTAAAACCCTCGCTTTGGCGTCAGACTCTGGCTGCGGGTCTCCTTCCCATCTTACAGCTAAACAGCTGAGCGTTCAGCTGGACTTGCATCCTTCTCATCCTGCTTTATACACAAGAAGCCACTAAACTACAGAAAAGTAACAATCTGTCACAGATCGCTGCAATATCTAAACTTTTGGCATTCTGTCTCACTGCTCTGCAACTCCGCTCCGTGTGACAGCATCACACCTGCTGTCACGGAGCTTCCTCTGCAGCAAAATGCTACTGAACCGCCCTTATAGGTTGAATATTGAAGATGGAGCGTGAGATCGATAGGCGGAATGGTGCTGCATCTGCAGTGATGCGGGCGTTGTACCGGTCTGTCATGGTGAAGAGAGAGCTGAGTCTGAAGGCGAAGCTCTCGATTTACCGGTCATTCTACGTTCCTATCCTCACCTATGGCCACAAGCTTTGGGTAGTGACTGAAAGAACGAGATCATGGATACAAGCAGCTGAAATGAGTTTTCTCTGCAGGGTGACTGGGCTCTCCCTTAGAGATAGAGTGAGAAGCTCAGTCATCTGGGAGGGGCTTGGAGTAGATCTGCTGCTCCTCCACATCAAGAGGAGCCAGTTGAGGTGGCTCAGGCATCTATGTAATTTATGTGCCATGGATTTCACATATGATGTGTGTGAATTTTAAAGACGCATTTTGATACCAAGAACGGGCTAATTTGCGAATGGAGGGAAACATTTTTATAGGTTTTGTGTTAAAATAAGTTCAGCACTACAAACGCGGTCCACAAAAGTGACGTCATCAAACCGGACACGGAGAAAACAGAGGGAAAATGGCTGCAAGTTCAGCAAACTTGAAATCTTTCCTTCAGTAGGAAAGAAACACATAAATCTGGCCATGTGGTAAGTAGCAACTACGCTAGGAGAGAAGAGATTATGTGGTGACGTCACATAGGTGACGTGCCGATGTCTGATTTGTAGTCATGCTATTACCAACTTTTACAAGCTGATAAATCTCAAAGTACGTGACAGGCGTGGTTGAAAAAACAATTGCAGTATCCAGGGTCTAAGGCAAAGCGGGTTAGAAAGGAGTTCTTACAGTCCCGTTGACTTGCATTCATCTTTTTGTTCTTCTGGGGACCCATGAGCCGACCAGAAAGGGAGGAGACTTAGGCTCCCTATATCTCTGTGAGAATCATGTCGTTTGACTTCTCAAGTGCTTTCAACACCATCCAGCCTTGTGGTGTGGACAAACATCTGACTGCATGGAACATCAACTTCCTCACCAACACGCCACAGTATGTGAGGCTGCACAACTGTATATACTCAAATCAAGTCAAATACTAATCAAGCGCACGCGTGCGTTTGCACCTATGGTTTGCACACCCACACACAAGGACAATTTAGACAGACCAATCAACCTGACAGTTTTTGGACTGTGGGAGGAAGCCAGACTACCTGGAGAGAACCCATGCATAAGCAGGGAGAACATGCAAAGTCCTTGCAGAAAGACCCCAGGTTGGGATTTGAACCCAGAACCTTCTTGCTGTAAGGCAACAGTGCTAACCACAGCACCACTGTGCAGCCCTCAGAGAGACCAATCATTACAAAAAAAGTAAAAAATGGCTTCTCAGTGAACCTGCTCGTTAACACACAAATCGAAGACAATATTCCAAGATATGTAAAATGTGTTGATGCACCCGTCTTGTTCAAATGCCATTAATTTGGAAAACATTTTCCTTTCTCAGAATGTTAAAAGTCACCTGCTAGACTTTCACCCAATTAGGGAAACACAAATACAGCAAAATGTTTTTTTTAGTTTATTGCAGATATTCTGTTATGTACACATATATTTACAAAACTATGGATTTTTTCGTTTTTCAATTTCATTTTGAAATGTACTAACAGCGGTAGCATAACTTCCTGTTTTCTACATAAGAATGATCCTATACAATCATCAAAAGGCAGGCTACAAAAACAGAAAGAGGACCATCTGGCTTTGATACAAGTCGGACCAGGCTGATTCACATGGTTGAAAAATAAATACTATTGACAAAAAAAAATCCCAATAATCTATCGACCACAAGCACTTAACATGAGCCTTTGTCCAAATGTAAAATACACCTCTAACACTCACTCTTGTGTGGTGAAGTGAATATCATTTGAGTTTCTAATTTGCATTCTGGTAAACTGAAGTGCTGATTTGATGGTGAAACTTGGTAGAAGAAGAAGAAAATATCATTTCTATAGCACCTCTCAAGATAAAAATCACAAGGTGCTTCACAAAAACAAAAAAATGTAAAAATATAAAAGAGAATTTAGAAAATGGTTAAAACATATTTAAAATGAGCAAAAAATAAACAATTGTGATGAAAAAAATGTTACGAAAGAGAGAGAGGGTGACTAGGAAAGCGGGAAATCAGTGGATCCTGAGGAAGGTGGAATAGGTGGGGAGAGCAGAATAAAGAGAGAGTGGTGTAGAAGGTCATACAAAAGCCAGCTTGAACAAGTGAGTCTTCAGCTGCTTTTTGAAGGAGACCACTGAGTCCACTGATCTCAGGCCCAGGGGGAGAGAGTTTCAGAGTCTGGGGGCCACAGCAGCAAATGATCTGTCACCTTTGATCTGGTGTGCTGCACAACCAGTAGGCTTTACTCACTGGACCTCAGGGACCTGCTGGGGGTGTAGGGACTCAGATCACCAATGTAAGGTGGTGCTTGTCCATGTAAGGCCCTATAGACCAGAACCAGGATCTTGCAACTATCCTCCCTGAAATGACTCAGAGGAGCAGCAATGACTCCAAGGACTATTTAAATGTTTTTATAGCTGAATTAAGCTAATCTCAGGTATCTAAACAGTCTTATTTATCACTGAACTTGTATTTTTTATGCAGCAATATTTCTGCACAAAACATGGATAAGATCCTGGCAAAATGACAAGTGCCCAAGAGTTTTTGAGCGGCTGGTGGAAAAAAATAAAAGAAACATATCAATGAATATTTTCTATTGAGGTGTTCAACACACCACAGCAAACTGGTTAAACTGGAGCAGCTTGAGTATATAACTGCTGTTGTTGCTCTAATTATTTGGTGTAAAACTTTTACAGAATGAGCTAAATGTGGAATCTGCTAATAAATTGAGGACAGAGGAAGTATCACCAGTACTCGTGTCTTTAGATATGTTTTAGTTATTTTATTACCATATAAACTGAACACTATCTTCCTTCTGCTGAGTTTTAAATAGGTGTGAAAATTTCCAACATTTAAAAGCTGCATTCATGAGATGACTTAGCCATTAGAAAAATTTCCCTGCCTGACCTGTTCCCACCTGGAATTTGGAGAAGAAATAGTGATTAACGTGTGTTTTCTAGATTTAACAGGACGATATGGTGGAAAATGTGTATTTGGTGACACATCTTCACTATAAGACTGGATCTTCTGATGATCTTCTGATTGCAGGCCAGGTTTTACTTTCCGCTGAGACAGCTCCCCATTTCTGACAAACCTATCCTATAAAGCTCTGAACATTCACAAAGACACCTTACTGTCACAGGTTAGATGGCTGCAGCTCATTATTTCTGATTGACATTTTATTTACATTGAATTTTACATGAAAACAACAAGCTGGGATTTTGGAGATGTGTGCATCCTGCAAACTGAACACAATTAGACTGATCATTAAATAAAAATCTACTTATTTTCCATCAACACAAGAAACGTGTCTCTCAAAATGTATTTAAGTGTCTCAGAACAGGAGAAGATTCTGTGAGAAAGGAACCAAATCATGGTCTGACATCAGAAACTAGCAGCAAAATGCTTCTCTGTTAAATATTTAGCTCAAGAGCTGCATTCAAGTCTCAAATCTCCTAAAAGACAAATGGATCTAAAAAAAAAAGAAAATAAAAAAATAGAAACATTGAGTCAACACCGTCTTGTTTTCAATTTTGTGCAAGTTGCAGATTATTACAAGCGTTTATTGTTAATTTTGAAATAATATTTTCCCTTCATGATCTTAAAAGTGTAAATGTAACGCTTAATATAAAAATGGACAATTAAACGGTAAATATGTCCTACTTTTTATTAGCTCTCGAATCATTTTAATATAGAGGAAGTCTGGGGGCTGGACAGTGATTTAGAAGCAGACGTACACTGTAAAAAATAAAATGTTGCATTTACTTAAGTTATGCCAACTGGTTCCACTAAAACTAGTTGATTAAATGTAAACAGTAATACACATTGTTATACATTGTGTTCAAAGTAAATGTATATTACTCTTTACATTTAAGCAACTAGGCTTAATAGGAACCAGTTGAAATAACTTGGTTCAGTAAAATTAACATCTTTTTTTATAGTGTGCACACTGAAGAGCCACAACAAATACCTGGCATGTATGATGTTCTCATCCTAAGGCCACAGTTTAAAGAAAACCATATTCTGAGCAGTGAGCTGAAGATAAACATCTGAAAAATAAATTCACTGTTCGCCAACTTTCAAACAACAACAACAACAAAAAAAAAACATTTTAATAACAGTCAATTTGCCGGCATCTGACTGAAGCATCATTTCCGTTTCTCCATCTAATGTTGGGTTTTCTCTGCACATGAGCAGTCTCCGTGCGTGTTCTAGTCCAGCTCCTCTCCATCCACTGTTGCATGTTTATAAGTGCAGATGCTGTCACAACTCCTCCTCCTCCTCCTCCTCCTCCTCCTCCTCCTCCTCCTCCTCCTCCTCCTCTCAGCGTTATTGTTATCAATAAACCAACAATGAATACTTCAAAATATAAATAGAAATGTGTCTAAAACCTGACATATTTTGGTCCTTTTAAGTCTTTTCTAAATATTTGAATGTTTAGACTTTCATTTTGCTTTTAGCTATTCTCGCTCCACTCTGGCATGATGCTGACACTATGTACAGAGTGATACTGATGTGGTGATAGCGTACGCTGGATGCCGTGTGTATAGAGGTACTCGTTTCCTTGTAAGCCAGCTGTTGGCGACTGGATCCCAGCTCCAGGACTGCACTGGCGGCCCAGAGTCTGGTGGGTCATGGAGCTCTGGTACATAGCAGTGTGGTGGCCCTCGCCCATTTGTGGCGAGGGGTGACCTCCCACTGCACCTAGTCTAGACACCAGAGACCCTGAGGTGAAGTGAGCGGAGAAGTGCTGGTAAGGCAGCCTCTCTATCGGCTGCATGGTGGTGACGGAACAGCTGCCGTAAGGTGAGACGCTGGCCCAGGTGTTGCAGCTGATATCCTCCAAACTGGGAACGGGCTCTGTGCCTTGGGAAGCACTGGCATACATGCAGGCCTGGCGCTGGCTGGACTCACTGCGGTAGGGCGCACCGGCCAGGCTGAGGCTCTGAGGGTAGCCAACAGGACGGTAGTAATGGTCCTCCTCACTGGATGAACTCTCCAGATATGTTTTCTTATAGCTGTGCTCTCCTGAGTGACAGTCATCCTCCACTGGGAGTAAAAATACAGAAAAATTAAATTAAAAAACTGTTATTTTAGAGAAATCATTCACAGTTCAGAAATTCAAACCATCTTGTCTCACAGTTTATGTTACTGAGTAAGCTTGTGCACTGTAAAATCGGATTAGAAATCTTGATTGGCGACACTAAAATTTAATTAACCTTATGCAACAACAGTTATTATCTTTCTATACCAAACTGTGAATATTTATTAATTAATCACTAATTGGTTTATGACAGAAGCCTTTTGATTAAGTCGACAAAACTTGGTTAAGTAAATTCTTTGTTTCATTTTTAGAGTGTAGAGGCTGGAAAATGCTGAAAATGATTTTATTTCGGCAATTTTGGATTAAACCTATGAAAGAGCTTTGATGGAATTTCACTATATAACAAACTTGTATTTTTATATTTATAAATTCTACTAACAATTATGTAAAAATCCTCTTTGATTCGCTTAATAAACCGATTTTGGAACTTGGTAGCACACAAGAGACATGATTGAAATGCAAGGTAAAGAAAATGGACAGTTTTTACTGAACATTTTAAAGAGAATGTGATGGTACTAATAATTTAAAAGCCCATATTGTAACAAAAACATCATAAATGTGTAAACTGATGGTTTAAATACAATTTGAGATTTAGAACAATTAAACCCTTCTGCAGGTCATGACTGTTCAAAGCAGCCCCGCAGAGCGCCCTACCTTTCCTCTTAATGCAGTACTCTTGGCCGTGTTCATGTGGAAGCGGGTAGGAACTGGACTGAGGCAGAATATCCTGGGATGTGCTCGTAACCCCGTTCTCACACTGAGAGTACTGGGAGCTCAGAGCGCTGGGTGTGACGATGCCCTGGACGTCCCCGCTGAACGGACTCTGGCTGGAGCCAACTCTTTGTCGCACAGTGCTGCGAGGCACGACTGGGTACTCTTTGGTGCTATACACACACACACACACACACACACACACACACACACACACACACACACACACACACACACACACACACACACACACACACACACACACACACACACACACACACACACACACACACACACACACACACACACACACACACACACAGTGTTGAATTATCTTTTACACACTACTATGTGTGTGCAACACTTGGATCCAAAAATCAGTGAAGTTCATTCCAAGATCAGTTCTCAGAGACAACAAACAGTCCCTCCCACTCATGACACACACATCATTGTGCTGCTTTTTTTCTTTCTCTCTTTCAGGCACAGCGGCGGTTGAAAAGTGACCTGGTTTTACAATAAGCTCTCCCTTTAAACGTGTAACCAAGTGCAGGAGTGCACCACTTCCTGCACGGCCAGAACAGATAACGGCCTATAAGATGAATAGGTTGGTTTCTATTTTTAATACATTCATTTCTTAACTAGAAATTTCTAAAACATTGCATTCAAATAACACTTTTAGGGATTTTCTGCAGCCAAAAAAAGGTATTTCCCTAAAAAGTTTAGTATTTCATACTAAATGTTAAAGGAAGGATGTAGGAGAGTGGCGCCTTAGGAAAGCCAAACAGCCTTTCCAGTGTTAGCTGATTTGGGATTTCTTCATTTGGAAGCCCTCACTTTCTAACAGCCCCCCCCCCCCCCCCCCCCCCCCCCAACATATATAAAGACTGTGGGTTTTTTATAAAACCAGATTTTATCCTTTGAAAAAGTGTTTTCTATGCATGTGGACTTGTGCTCCAGCTCTCATCTGGACTGAATAATAGACTAAAGTGGTCTTGGACTGCCTTGGCTGCCTGACCGAGAGATATTCACCGGTTTAACTCCGACACACACACACACACACACACACACACACACACACACACACACACACACACACACACACACACACACACACACACACACACACACACACACACACACGCACGCACGCACGCGCGCGCGCGCGCGCAGTTGGAGCATTCTAGTTATAAAACAAAGAAAACTCTGGAGGAGAGATGTTCTTGTTTCAGAGGTTTTGCCAGATCAGCCATAAAAGTCTTGAGCATGAAAACTGGCTGGGATTCAAAAGCCACACTTACATCACTGAAAACAACTCTGACTGAAAGTCACACTCAGCGCTGGCGTGCATTCGGGCGATCGGAGGATTAAAGCCGGGTTTGTTAAAGCCACAGAGCAACCATGTCGGCGTTTCCTGCCCAGCTGACGTGACGTTTATCTGCTCGTGACTTCACTCAGCACGAGTGATCGCTTCCTGATATCAGAGTACCAAAAAAGCTGAAAGTTCAGACGGAACAGTACCTCTGCATCCTGGACATCCTGTGCAACTCCATATCATCACTTCCACGGAAGCCTTTAGCAAACGGGTTGTTTTCAATCTTCAACTGGGTGATCTGAAACAGACAAACAGCGTCGTTTAAAACCGAATCATGTTCATATTACACGTCTTTACGTCTGCTACAAGCTTTTGTTTTGTTTTATACATCTTATTTATGTTACAGGTAATAAAAAGATGTCCAGAATAAAAATGTCATGGATTTCTTTGCAATGCAGACAGGGCGGTTCAGTGCCGCCATAACAGCAAGCTTGCCCCCCCCCCCCCCCCCCCCCCGCTGAGGTGTGGGCGGCAGTTTCATTATTCCTGATTATTTTGTTAATTTAGCCCAATGTGGAACCAAAGAAAGAAGTTGAAAAGATATGCTGAGACAAATACTGATAAAAATACACAAGATAGCAAAATAAATGCTTATTTAGCAAAATAGACATTATTTAAACTTACTGAACAGCTGCTGTATGAAAAGAAACTGACTTTCTGTCATCTTACTGTTGTGAACACTCAATACAGCATTTCTTTTGCAAAACCTAAAAATTTTGCTTTTTTAAAAAAAGATTTTGCTTAATTAAAAAGCATCATTTCAGCATTCATTGCTTTGCTCAATTCTGACGTTTTGACGGTTTTACAACGAGTTTATGTTTAACGTTTCTCAGATGAGCCTAACTTGTCTCAATGCAACTAACAGATAAACCTTTTCCGAAGTCCTGTAAGCTCACAAAATCATCTCAGTCGTATTTTAGTGCCTGATCTATAAAGCTCCAGATGCAAATAATATATGACTTCCTATTTTGGATAAAAACTTCTTTTACCAAAAGCAAGAGCAGAATTTATTTAGAGAACAAACTGTAAATTTTAAATAATCCAACAGAGTTGAGGCAGAATACAGGGATGTCCCTCTTGGTCCTTACAGGTAATGAGTCGGCTGTTTTGTTGCAGCTCCAGCTTTCTGACAGGACTGCAGGTTTATGTCCATGCTGGCCAACACCTACAGCGAAACTTGTAAAATCCATCATGTGACACATTGCTGGCTTCTTGTTAATTCAAGGCGGCAGGCAGATGATTTATGTATTATTTCAGATTAAAAATAAACCTTAAGAGTAAAACATCTCCATTTTATTTTTCCTAAACTCTCATGTTTCCCAAATATTGATGCCATATTCTATTTTAAAACATTAAAAAATTTGAAAATGTCTTAAAGTTCAACGAGACAACACCACAGATTATTTACACTTGGATTAAAGATTGGGAAATTAGAGAAGAAAAAAGACAAACTTAATCATTCAGCTTTTTTGAAGCAATTTTCTTAGACAGGATGTCTAAAACTGTGCTCATTAAAATAACTGAAACTCACATAAACATAATTCCAGATGCTTTGGGTTGAGTTTGGAAAAAAAATACGACTTTAGAAAATCCTCCAAAAATCTTCAGAAAAACACACTAGGAAAGAAAAAAGTTCAGAAAAATGCTTTAATTGCAACTGAGGCAGGAAGGAGCAGAAACCCGAGACTTTGAGCATTTTTCATTAGCTGAAAGTCCAACAGGTGAACTGGACTCAAGCCGGCAGGACATAATGTTCTGGCAGATGTTTGACTGTTTGATTAGACAGTTGTGGTAAAACACTTGGAAATCAGAAATGCTTGTTTTCCTGCAGGTCTGGAAAGGCCTAATAATTAGCCTGGGGGTTACGATCCCAGCCCCCCAATAACATGCTGGAAAATAATGAATGCTTTCTGCAGAAAGCTGGTCATTTGTGCTTCCTGTTCCCAGAGGTGCGGAGACTCCTGATTGGCTACTGAGACTTATATGCGTTTTCTCTCTTTTCTCCATTATTCCCTAAACAAGAACCATGCAGGCCTTATGGCTAAATGATGCTGAACAGACGCTGTTTACAGAAATGAATACTTCCAAGATGTTTTTCCCCTTTTCCTTTTTAAATAAATTGGACAGAGAATTAGATTCAGACTTTAGACCCTTTGCTTAAACTAAAATGCATTAATGAGGATTTGAGGAATTGTAATTATTCAAGTCTAATTTTATGCATAGGCAAAGTTTTATTGATTGTTGGGGAAGAAATAAAGGGAAATTTTCCAACTTTTCTGCTTTTATGGGTAGACTCAGAAATCAAAGCTAATTTCTACAAAATAATGAAATAAAGTTCAGCTGACCAAAAAAGAAAAAAGGGGAAAACACTTTTTGTTGTTTTATCATGTTTTGTTTTCATTCATCCTTTTGAAACACTGTGAATTTTCTGTCTGTGATAAATTTTATATAAACTTTACTTACTTTTAATAGTAGAAAAAAATAGAACTTAAATTTGCAGTTTTTTTGCACACTTATGCACAACAAAAAGAAAGTTTAAATATTAAGGGATTTTAAATTAAATAATAACAACAACAACAACAACAATTATTATTATTATTATTATTATTATTATTATTAAACAACGACAATAATAATAATAATAATAATAAATTGGCAAGTTTTCAGTGGCAATATTTCCATAATTTTGTATAACTGTCTTTAATCTAATATTGATCTACAAAATTGATTTCTTAAGTATATTATAATTATAATTAGTATTAATATCATTATTATTTATAAGAGCTCATCTCCGTGGCTAGACGTTTATAAATTCACATTTTTTCTTTACAAAAATCCAAAAATAAAACAAAAAATTTCTTACTTTGAAGTTTTGCTATTTCTCCGTTTGCAGCTGAACAACCAGGTCATTTAGCCGATAAAATCTAACCTCATACCATAAATTTAAATGTTGCCAATAAACTTTTTGATTAAAAATCAAACCAAAATAATATTTAAAGAAGAAGAAGAGGAGTTCCTACCTTGTGGTTCTGGTAAGAAGTGACCGCGATGAAGGCCGTCTCGGTGAACACGTGGGTGCAAAAGGCCGTGTTTTTGGAGCCGAAGCCGTTGTTTTCATCCGCTTTCACGATGTGAATCCTCGGCTGATACTTGTGCATCGAATTTAGGATGATCTGGAATAAAGATAAAAACAGTTTTTTTAAAACAAACCCACCATGTTGTTTAGCTTTATGTTAATTAAAGCTGAGAAAAGTCACATAAGTTAAAGAAAAACCAATCAATCAATCAATAAAAAGAAGAGGCGTAGCTTTGGAAAAAAGTAAATAACGTTTTGCAAAACTATATTTTCGACTTCTTTCAGAAGAAAAACGACAGTTTTATTTTGATGGTGCAAACGATTTATTGCACAAGTCGACTTTTCTATTGTAGGTGTTGGTTTGAACAATATAAATAGAAATTTCTGCATATTGCTAAATGTTTTGCAGTAGCTATAGTAATTTATTTCAGAGTAAAAAAGAAACACTGAACACTATAAGCATAAACTTTTCCAGAGGAGACCCGTGCACAAAAATGACCTAAAACAACATGAATTAAACATATAGTCATTAACCTCTCAGAGCGTCAGCAGAAAAAGTTTTTTCCTCCAGATTTTGAGTTACTTTATTAAAAACAAACACTGATAATTAAAATAAATTAAATTAAGAAAAAAAATAATTATATATTTCACTCTAAACATTCAAAAAACAATTGAAAAGTGTGTTTCCATGGTAACAGTCACAGACGTTGCAAACAACGCCTCTCCTCCTTGATACCCAGTTTTTGATCACCGATGAGACGCAGCTCAAACAGAGGAGCCCTGAACTTAAACTGTAGGTAAATGTTGCATAAATAAATGTAATGTGTTTTGTCCCCGTAAAGTTCATTTACATTGAAAGTTAATGACACAAACTTCCCTTTTCTAAACTCCCCCACCTTTTTTCCTCCCCCTCATCTCCTCCTACCTGTCCCATACAGACCATGTATCTCAGGCTGTTTTTATACCTGCCCTTCACTCCCATAGGAGACAAGGGATCCCCCCGCAGGACTCACGGGGGCATTCTAGCAGACAAACCCTGAGTCAACCAGGCTGGCACCGATGGTCCCCCATAAAATCCTAAAACTTCATCTGATTTAGGAGAAAACCGCGTTTCTCTGCAGAGCAGAACAAAGCAGAATGTTTTTGGGTTCCTAAATGCCGCTTCTACAACTAAACTTGGACGGAGCAGAGAAAAAAGTAGGTTAAACAAAACATTTTTCATGTGCACATTCATTACTGGCTCATCTGTTGGCCCACAGAGATCCAGCCAAGACTGGGACATACCACAACAAGTCCATCAAACATGGCATTCAGTGCTGGAAAGTGAAATATATATAAATACATATATATATCTGACATGAAGACTCATTACAAGTTACTCTGGAAATTTGTGCATTCCAAAATAAGGGGGCTTTGTTGGTGTATTTGCAGACCACCCACAGGGAAGCCAGTGCACACCTCGTCTCCGTGGCCCAGTCACTGGTTCCTTGTACCCCCCCCCAGCCTCTGTGATACTATTTAATGACAGTGAGGGATCACTCTGGGTCTGGAGCGGCTGCCCTTTGCTTTCAGGCTCAGCAACATCAGAGAGTTTTCTCCGAGCCTCAGCATTTTGTACACCATCATCCAGTGCTCATCGGACTCTGCCACTCAAATATAAACAGCAGCGTCCCTCACACTCCACCCCTCCGCCTGTGTGTGGGGAAAGCACTGGGACGGACGGGGGAGCGGGCCGACCAAGTGAGAGGGAGATTAATAATCCTGAGAAGCATTCTGGGAGCCCAGAGTGAGATCAAAGCAACAAAAAGTCCAGCTTGGTATGAAACTTGAGACAAAATCACATTTTATTCAATAGGAACAATTTGGATCTGGATGAGAGATCAAAGTGATGAAGTTAGAAAACTCATAAATAAATCTACATCTGGATAATCTGATCAACTTCTAATTTTATTTTTACACTATAGGGAAATCAATCCGTTTACTTCTTTTTATTCACAGATAAGCATTTAAAGTGATGTTTTTTAAATCACAAGACATGCCGTCTTCTCAAGTTTAACCAAAAAACTAGCATCATCATTACATAAGCTTTAAATACTACAAAAATCACATTCAACAGGCAGACTAAATGCTTTTTAAATCAACCAACTACCTAAACTACTTTGTGCATGTGTTTCGGGGATTATTTACTTCTACCTGCACAATCAATAAATCACACAAAATGACAATGCAAACCTTTTTTTTCTCCAATTCCTTGTTTTATCTGAGCAGTTTGCATGATAGTCTCAGCTTCATGCCAGTCCTGCTACCTTTAGGCCTGCAGCCTCAGTCCTAAATCATCTCTGAGTTATTTCCACCAGCCGGACCAGCAGGCTGAGGTATTTGTGTTTCAGCCACCAGCGACTCATTTATGAATCCCGTGGTGAGAAAGAGGCCGAGCCAAGAACCACTGCAGCCAATCACAAAAGCACATTAACCAGAATTTTACAACATGGCTCAGCGAGCTCCAGTTTAATTTAACCAGCTGGCAATGCTGCAGTCTCTGTAGGTTGGAGGCCTGAATGCATGGAAATAAGCTTGATACACTGAAATTGGTCTAATTTTGCAGCTTAATATAAACCAACAGTAAATTATGCAGCAGAGGACTACGTTATTTTATTAAAGCGTTGTGCACACAATGTGTGTTTTCTTCTAAAATAATTTTAGTGGGAAATCTAAACACAATGCTTTAGCTTGTGTCTTTTAAAAGATGTCCTTTAATCATTGCATCTGGTAGCAACACTAAGACTGTTTTCACTTGAGTAGCACAGATTGTTCTTGAAGAATTTAGTGTTATTAACTTTGGGATTGTTCTGTTTGTGCAGCAAGACACCTCATTAGACCTCAGCGTTCTCATCAGCTCTAGATGTGATGAAAAACTCCTGCCAGCGGGACAGTTTGAGAATAAAATAAGTGATGTGATTGTGCTCTTAGAAAAAGCCTGAGTCCAGATGTAGAGTAATGAGGAACATGGGTACCACATTCATTACTGACGCAGGGGTGAGGGGCTCAAGGGGTCTTTATGCTAGAAAAGGGCATTTTTCTTTCTTTCCATTCATGCAGGATGGAAATAAAATAAAGTTTGTATTAAATGAAGAAACTGTCTTAAATAGCATGCGAGAACTGATATTTTCCTGCATATTCTCCCAAATGAACAAATAACATCCAAACTTTTACTCCCATTAACATTCAGGAGCAACACTGCCATTGTTTTGATTTTACAAATGTTTTAGTTTAAGTTATTAACATGCAGAATGTTTACAGAAAAGACAAACTAACTAACTAACTAACTAAATAAATAAATAAATAATGGATAATGAGCAAATGGATTTCTCAATAAATAATGCTAATTGGCAAATTGCAAAACATCCTTTTATTTATTTATAGTAAAATTAGCTGTTTGTGCTTCACAGAACAAAAAAAAAACCTTTATGTGTAATTTAAATAATAAAACAACTAAATTGTATTTTTTAAACAGATAAAACAAGCACAAAACTATGTTGAAGTTAACTAAATTAGCCAGATATTTCATATTTGTATGTTAGGGCTGACATTCGGGAACATATAAATTAAAATCAGATCAGATGAAACTCTTTTTTTCCCCTTCTTGGCTCGTTTATCTTTTAAATTAATGCCCTTTTTAATTTGTCTATAATAATAATAATAATAATAATAATAATAATAATAATAATCATTAGAAAATAAGAATACTTTTCTAATTTTAGATACTTGACGACTAGATATTCCAAGACTCAAGTAACAGCAAAGTCATTTCCACCATTCTGACCCATAAATGTGCAAAAACGCGCCCCTTTGCAAAAGGCGCATTCAGACTGCGTCACATGCGCAAAACACACCAAGCAGAACCTCTTTTGGTCATTGCAGCGCACAGATCTAATAGCAGCTGGCACCTACGTGTCCGAACGGGTCCAGGTGGTTGTTCGTGAGCTTCAGCTTCTGGAAGGAGACCAGCTGCCTCATCCAGTGGGCCCCGGTGGCCGGAGAGTCCGGATGGACGTAGAGCCTCCCGGGCATGGCAGGCTCTGCCTTTCCGGTCACAGACCTGACATAAAGCACAACACAAACTCGGTCACGCTTGGGAATGACGCGCGCACGCACAGATCCATGGAGACAGAAACAGAGAAAATTATATTATTATTTATTTTAATTTTAAAATGAAACAAAAACTGTTTATTTGATAGCAAAAAAATAATAATAAAAAAAAATAAATAAAATAAGATGCACAGGCATTTTGTATGTGCGCACGGCTGCAGATAAATCAATGAAGTGACCCAGAAGGTGTCATCCTGCAGTAACCGGTGTTAGATAAAGGACAGAATTAGTTCCAGACACTGCTCTGCTCTGGTCATTATCTCTTGTATTGGCATGTGATGATCCTCTTTAAGTATCGCCTCTTTAAAAAGGCACTGACCCAAAAACAGCCGCTGCTTCTCCGAGGTCGGAGATCACAAATATTTTTATCCAAATGTCAGAATTCATTGCGCATTTAGGAGCTGTGGGAAAAGTCATCAACATCCACCCAGAATTCCAGAGAAAGTCAGCTCCGACTGAAACGCGCACCCCTGCAGGCTGCAGGTCTTGGCAAACTGGAGAAAACACACAACTCATAATTCTGAAGGAAATACTGTGCTCACTTCCGACTGTCGTCCATCAGGACGAAATAAAACTTCCTGTTGGAATGCTGCTCCAGAAAGAGCAACTAGTGTGTGTGTGTGTAAAAATGGTATAACGTCTGTTTTTTTACGCACCATTTATTGTCTGCGAACTTGTACCGATGATCATCCGCAGGAACAACATCCATCAGGAGAATATACTTCGTTTTGGGGTTTAATCCTGTCACTTTCACTTTGAAGCTTGGAAACATTCTCCTGCAAAAAAATAGAAGCACGTTTTTTTTTGTTTTCTGAAGAAAACAACAAATGTATCTCGAGTTTAGGCCCAACTTTCTTAAATATAAGCGCTTTTCATCCAAACCCTAAACGGAACGGGACATGGCGTTCGTTTCATGAGTCCGAATTGCACTCTAAACTAAACACAATTAAAGTATACACTAAACTCACACGAGACCAACAGAATTACAAAAATGCTTTTATTTAGTTTGGAGAGGAAAGTCGTATTTTTAGGGCAGGGCGTTTGTCTGAGAGTTTTTCTTTCTGCAGGTCATTTTTCCCCCTATGGTTCTTTATGGAAGACAGCATAAAACAATACTTGATATAGCCCATGCAATCCTGCAAGACAATAAAAAGGGCAACGTATAATGCCTGACAGAGATTAAAACATTCTGCAGCTGGGAGATTAAACAAAACATTGTCGCTGCAGAGCGCGTGGTGTCATCGCTGCGTTAAATTATTAATATGAATCATTTACAGGACAAGTGTGGGCTGTTAGCCACGCAGCAGACACCAGCGGTCCTCATGCATACATTTATGTTCACACTCCGCCTGCACGTGCGTTGTTTTGACAGGATGCAGCCTGACACACACACACACACACACACACACACACACACACACACACACACACACACACACACACACACACACACACACACACACACACACACACACACACACACACACACACACACACACACACACACACACACACCAAAAAGTAAAGACCCAGTCTAAAATACATAAAACTGGATTAAAAAAGATGTTTTTTCTGTCTCTTTAAACATTGTGACGTCACCTCTACATTTCCAAACCCTCCAATAAAACAAGATAAAATTCTGAAATAAAATGACAAATTGTCTCACCGTCCGGCTTTGGTTATAATCATCTCCGTTCCCACCTCGTGAAACTTCATCCAAAGTTCCCTCTCGTGTAGGTAGACTTTAATTCCCTCCATTCCCTTAAAAATGAAACCATTTGGCGCTTAAAAGTCTCATCAAGCCACAAATAGATCCCTTGTTTTGAGCGTCTGTCTTGTGGGCAAAGTTTAGTTGACACACTTCCCTCATGAATCTCACGTGTTGTTTTATGTGTGCAATAAAACATGCATTTAGCATGCATGCACAACATGCACAAGGGTAACAAAAATCCTGGATCACTGTGTGTTTGTGGATTTAGGTCTGTAGATCACACATAATGCAGTTCTGGACAAACTGTATTTTAGACACACTCAAATTAAATATTGTTTTTAAAAATCTGATGCACCTTGAGTTGTCTGAGCAAACAAAATTATCAAAATAAAAACAAACTCTGGACATTTTTAAGAAAAATAAATCCCAACCTATAATAATATCTAAACATCTACTGTGGAAGACATTATACTTAAATAAAAGCAAATGCTCAAAAACTTTTAAAAATGTTTTTTACCCCCAAGTGTGAGTTAAAAACAGCTGACCCAGGTGAAAAAGGGCTGACCCCTGAGTTAGTGGCCTACAGAAGCCCACTCGCCTCCTGCTGCAGACACACTGACCTGCTGGATGTAAGTTGTCTGTGAAGATGGGGATTTGCTGGAGGTTCCGTTTTGTTTCTCGGGTTTATTGTCCGTCTGCAATTCCCTTGAATCCGAACCAGTTGGAGAGTTTTGGATTACAAAAGTCTCCTCTTGGTCCGCCATGACCGGAGCTCACCAGAACTACTGACACAGAGAGGTGGGAGGGTGAGATCTCAGCTTTTGCTGGACAGAGTTTCTGAATTTGGATGAAAACAGGCGGAAATAAGGAAACATTACGTGCATGGACTAATAAAATCCTGTTCTATTGATGAAAATTTAGTTAATCAAACAAAATAAAATGTGTAACTGGTCAATTTTAAGGAAAGTCGTCTTTCTTTGATGGATTTAACAAGACGTTTCCTCATGAAAAATGGATATTTGACAAAAACTGCTTATTTCTTCTTATTTGTAGGATGCTGCTCATTCCGATTCACCACACCCTCTTTGAAATCTATCCCTCAGCATGTTTCGACAGTAAATCGGGCTTATTTATGTGTTTCGAGTCCAGAACAGAAACAAAGCGCACATTTCGGGAGCTCCAAGATGGTGTTTTGCGTCTGCACAGACCTGCGACTCCATACGATAACCCCGCTATCAGCTGCGGCCACGATGGGGAGACTGGAGAGTGGAATCAGCTTACCTAAAAAGCAGAAAACCGCGTCCCCGCGCGCTGGAACCAACATAAACACGTAAACAGCAGCGCTCAAGTCAGATAATCCAGGCGTTGAAACCGCTCAGCGTCTCCATGAAGCCTCCCCTTCCTACTGTCCAGATTTCCTCCAAACAGAGCCGGCACCATCAGGATCCAATCAGAGCTCCGTGACACGAGACGCTTCTCTGCGTCTTTTTGAGCATTTCTTCTAAAAAGCTTGAGCTCCGTTTTTGTGCACGGACCCGGATAGCGCTAAAGCTGTAGCCGGATCCCGGTGGAGCTGCTCCGATACCTCCTTCTCCCCTCCTCTCTCTGTCAGGCTCTGGTTTGTCAGGTCCACGGCTTCCTCTCTTTCCCGCAGCAGCTCGTCACTATTCATCAGTGGCCAAACAACGCCAAGCGGAAACGGAGTCCGAGACGTGGGAGTGGTGGTGAGGGGGCGGAGGAGCACGGCAGAAGGAGGAGGAGGGAGGGGGTGTTGCCCGAGCACGCATAGCATTGGTTTGCATCCCAAAATAATGATTCCTTCCAGGTCTCCACCCCAGGTTTTCTTATTTATCCACTCTAACCCTCTCTGTAATCCCAGTCTTTTATCCACATGTTTATGGTCTCGTGTGCCATTACGCGCGGATTTACGCACAACCACCTTTTACTCCAAGTCTGCAAAACAAGCTCTGCTCACGTCACATATGTCTAACAGGAGATGCATCCGTTCAAGAAGATGTTTAAAAGAAAACTAGGCTAGATTCTAAAAGCAAAACAAAATATATTGAAAATAAAAAAGAAAGCAGTTTAAAGTCCCAATGAAATTTATCTCCGCATTTGACCCATGGGGAGTGGCTAGCTACAGCTGTGGCTGAGCTCGGGAACTATGTGGTGGTTTAACCCCCCAATCCAACTCCTTAAGGTTGAGTGCCAAGCAGGGAGGCATTGGGTCTCATTTTAAGGTCTTATTACCCAACTGTATTCCTATTCCCAGGAATTCCTATTCTCAACCTAGGCCACTGAAGGTGATTTATTATGGACTAATGTTCATAATTTAGCCAAATCACTTTGGATTTAATGTTTTTATTTCTCATGTAAAGGAAGAACTTTAAAAGGGAAAAATCAAGAACCGTACATCAGGGTCAAAAGTTACATGTGTGATTTTTAGTTTTTACTTTTACGCACATGAGTCTCATATCATCCGGAAAACGCACAGAGTAAATAACACTCACAAAACAGAGTTATCCTTCTTGTAAACAGGTTATCTCATGATTAAACAGAAGATTTGTTTCCCCCTTTTTTCTTCTTCATGGTTTGGCAACATTTCGGCCACCGACGCGTCATTCCAAACTTAGCTCACACTTTCATCCTCGGTCAGCGGGATCCAGGAGATTGCTGTAATCTGCAGAAACTCTGACACATTTTAGTATTTTTCATCCACTTTTGTGGACTTCATTAAAAAATAGAAATGTCCCACTTTTATGCTAATAATTGTATGTTTCAAGTAGGCCTACCAGCTTTTTTATTTTCTGAAACAAGTAATAAAATGTCAATTTTCAAAATGTTTGTACCAAAAACACTCTTTTCACCATCTTATTTTATTCAACTATTATACGCAGCGATTTTATTAGCGTCAAATTTGAACTTTAACAACAAATATGACAAGAAAAACTTAAAAGTTACGCTCTGATGCTTTCCTTTGTGCCTTCCTCTGTATAAACACGTTAAAACGCACAAAGGAAAGCGCACGCGCGCACGCATAATAAGGGGAGGAGGGACACATGTCTAACAACTCCTAATTTGTTTAATCTTCCAAACCTGGTTCGATCATAGACGCTGTTGTTATTGAACGGTGAGAAAACGTCAGAAAACACACGAGACAACTGCAGAGCGCATGT